TCTCGTGTGTCGTTACCTTTACATCACATGCATTACTCCTTTTTCCATTAATGAACTTTATTTCTTGGGCTAACTAATTAATCTTCCCTAGAGTGTCAATTCCACGTGAAATCGCTCATAATTTAATGCATTTGATATAAAAAAAACAACATTAAATACGACTCAAATCAATACCATAAGATATCAATAAACTATACCAAAAAGAAGTGTGAATTATAACATCTCCAAATACATCATTTGCTTAGGATATATTACTACTACTAAAGTCAAAAAGTACAGCGGTTATTTTTATTCATATTTAATGATTTACGAATTAAAATATATACAAACAAAATAAAAAAGAGTAGACTTTTTATCTCAATTTTAAACTAAGTTCACTAAAATTATAAAAATACTATCGTGTTTTGATATGTTTCGGTTTCTTATAAATGAAATTGGCGTTAAAACTTCATTCTACACTCGTATAATACAATTCATTTTTTTTAGTATAAACATTATAGAGTAAGGTTGACAAATGGTTATGTTTTTTTTTTCTTTTCTAAATTTGGATTTATATATATAAGAAAGAATATTTGTTGAGAAAGTAAAGTTTGTAAGAGGTAAGAAAAAGAAAGGAGAAAAAGAAAGTGATGCAATTGCTCCCTATATTCAAACAAACCATGCAAATTTGTTCCTCTGAATTGTCCAAAGTTATCAGAAAAGTATTGTGAGCAGATCCTAGGAGACACTTGGTCCACCAACCCTTTGGCCAATTAATAAATCACACACACATACATCTCACAAAATACCCCTCCACGTCAGCATTTTTAAATTATAAAAACAATACAAGTGGACCAATAACTATTAGACACGTCACATTCTCAAAAAAATTGTCCCCATGAGTTCTCAAAGTATTGTTTTCCTTACAAAATTTACTCTCATCTAATAAATGTACATGTTGTTACATAATCGAATTACACTATTCAATATATATATATATCTATTTTATTTTTATTTGTATCTCTTTTTTTTTTTATAGTGGTAATGTCTTCTATCACTCTGTTCGAGTAGGACTTTCCTACTTGATCAAATTAATCTTTAGTCAAAAAATTTACAAAACCATCCCAACACTTAAATCAACGGTGTAATTACTCTCCCCGCATAATTATGTAATTTTCTAATTGAAAAAACTAATAAATACATTTAATTTTAGTTTTTAAATTATATTATTTAAACTAAAACATGCAAATACAAATATGTGTTTTATATTTATTTAATATTTATACTAATACACCAATAATAATAATAATAATAATTATTATTATTATTATTGTTATTTATAAAAAAAAATTATTGTTTCATATTCTAAAGTACAATTTATTTGAATACATTAAATTAAAAGTTATAAATCACAAAAACAATGATATAAAAGCTTTATGTAAAAATTTATAAAATTATGTTTTAAAATTAATAATGAAACTCGATTATTTTAATAATAAAATGTTTAGATATAAATATAAATTTCATAAACAAATTTCGTTATTTTAAAAATGTTATCTTTTTAGAAATAATTTTTTTAGAGATTTCTCACTTACCGAGACCATAAGTTTACTCTTGACGACGAGTTTTTCAAGATCAATCCATCCATTTCTTAAATTGAGTAAGTTGATTTTTTGTCATTCTTTAGGTCCAACTTATCTTGGTTGCGCGTGTGAGTGTATTATGCTTGCATGTGTTTTTTTAATCATCTATACCAGTCTTTGTTCGATCAGTGATCATAATGATATGTCTGAATCATTTTTGTGATGTTTTTATATTTAGATAAAACATCATGTAGAGTTAAATGTGTTGTGATTTTCTTATGGTTTTGCACTATTTTTCTAAGGTGAAGGAAACTAATTATATTGCTTGTATATTGCCAATAATTTGATCAATTTGCGAATTGGAATTTGGTGATTTGATACGTGAAATTTGAGTACTTGGCATGACTTGGCCGGTTATGCATTTAGTTTGTTTTCTTTATTGAATGTAATGCAGTATGATGTGATATGTGTAACTAATTGTGAAAACTATGTTTTTACTTGATTTAAAATGTTTGTGTGAAGTCTTTGAATTGGGTAAAATGGCACTACCTAAGTTAGAGATTTGAAATTTGAAAGTATTATGATGTCAGTAAGTAAAAATTTACTTAAAAGTGCTAAATTACACAATCCAAAGCTTAAAAATGGGTGTTTATGTGAACTCAGATGGTGATGGGCACCACTAATAGCTTTATGCGCCACTAAGACAATGGCTCCTCTAAGTTGACTCTTGTTGGTAAGGGTTCTTCTCGTTGGGTGACACCAAAGTCAGAGAGCTTACTAACTTGGTGAAGCTGGTCGTCAATAAGGATCGTTAGACGTTAGAAAATAAATTAAAATCTGGGAGTTCTAAGGGTCCTCTTGCTGGGCACCACTTAGTTGAAGTTGAACGCTATTCGAGGGACCTCTTTGTTTGAGTAGTGTTGAGCATAGTAAGTGGCGTTGGATAGTATCTGAGTGACTTTCAATTTATTTTCTAAACTTCTTAATGGGTTATTTGAGGTATATCTTTGTGTAGATATTTTTTTATTGATGTTATGAATGTCTGAAATCTATTGAGCCATGGTTTGTGAAGATGAATGAACTTTTCAAGGAAAAAATCCTATGAATCATATTCTTTAAGTTGTGCATTAAAGTAGGAACTCATATAGGAAGTTATCTTGATACTCTACTAGTCATTCAAACTCACACAGAGGAGAATGAGCTGGGGTTGAGAGCAGTAGGAGGTCATGATCAAGAGAACTTTTTGAAGTCCTAATGACTGCATGAGATTAATCTTGTGGGTGGATAGTATTCATCACAAGTGCTAAAACTTCCTTGTGGTCTAACATTAATGAATTTTATTTAGATACTTAAGTTAAAGGAGTCTTTTTTCACATAACTAGTGTTCTAAGACTGTATTATTAGCTTGGTTTATCAATCTTATTTGTTTAATGATTCTATGATAAATTATTTGTACATTAGTTTATCATTTCTTTTGCTTGTATTTTTTTTAATGATCATCTTTATAATATGAACAAATGAGAAAATCGGAGTCGAGCTACCTCTATAAAGAACTGATAGTGCAGTTATGTAATGTAGATATAAAGAACTCTTTTAAAAAACTCACTTTATGTTTTATTTAAAATTTTCTTAGTTTTTTTTTTAAAAAATGTTTGAAATAATTGTAACAATATTCTCGAGTTTCTAAATTATCTATCCTTACTTTATTAATTACGTATTTCACTTAATAATTTATACTATTAATTAAAATGTTACACGTCCTACTAAACACATTTAATAGTTTATTCTTAGTTAAATAAGCAAAACATCTAACTTACTAGCCCAAATCCAATCCAAAAATCAGAGACAAGATTTGACCTAATTATTTTATGATTTGTTTGTTTGTCAGTGGAAAAAGATGAAGCATTTATGCTATGATTACACTTCACAAATTTAGGAAAAAATATTAAACAGTGGTGCCCTAACATTAATTCATGGGTCCCATTCAAACAACAATCCCAACCTTTATGCCCTACAACTTCTACACTATGTCCATAAATATCCGTAGAATTCATTTTTCACTCAAATTATTACAATAAATTTAACTAATATACTGCCAAATTTTCTTCAAAATATATGTTTTTTAAAACTCTACACAATTATCTATAGAAGAATTAAATTAAATTTGTTAATCTTTTTAATACTAAATTATCACTAAGAACACATTTGATAACCAAATTAGTCACTTATCCTAAATTAAGTATTAATGAGTTTCTTTTTATGGATTGAGATTTATCCTCGTAATTAGAAAGAAATATTGTTAAAATAAGTTAGTCAATATTTTTAAGAGAAATTAATCATCACTAAGCCTAGTTTTACACCAATAACACAATTGTAAAAATAAAAATAAAAATAAAAATTGTTAGTCTAAAAAGTGTAGTTTAACACTATCGCATCTAAGAAATATAGCAAAAAATTATTACAAAAATCTTAGAAGTATAATTTATTTATTGTTTTTGACACCAATCGCGCATGTAAAAAATATAGAAAAAAAATAATAATACATAAATCTTAGAAGTATAATATTGTTATACTTATGTCATTAAACTACACTATCAATTGATAATGATGCATGATTGATTATTGTGATAGCAATCATATAGCTTCTGTAATACTTTTTTACAAAATTATGAATACAGTATAAAATAACTGATAATTATTTTATAAAATAATACTTGGTCAATTATTTTACAATTCATGTAGCTTCTATAATAGTATATTCACTATAACAAATATCGTTATATTATAATTTATTTTTAGTATGATAAAAAATCATAATCTTACTTATTATAATTTCTTAATTAAAGTAACCAACCAAACACGTTTCTGAGCATGTAATAATTATTATAAAAAAATAACATTAATATATAATTAATCATCAAAAGATATTTATTATCTTTTACTTTTTGTTTTATAAAATAAAAAATTAATAATATTTTTTAATAAATTGACTATTGCTAAAAACTAAATACACACTTAATTGTATTATTTATAGAATTATATAATTCAAATAAGACCACTCAAATAATTAAAATTGTAATAAAACTATAACTTTTTTATTATACTAAAAATAAAATATAATAACACTTATTTAATGAACTAATTATCCTTAAATTTAACTTGTTTCTAAAATCGTACACATATTAGTCATTAAATGTATCAATAATACATCAATTATTTATTGTTGTTAAGTTTTATGAATTATTTAACTATGATGTTAAGAACTAATTTATTATGGCAAAAAATATAATTATGTTAATCTAAAAAATGTAATTAACACGAAAACACGTATGTTTTTTTTCCTACAATAATCTGGGAGAATGAAAATAGCAGATATACATAAACAGAGAATAAACATTACGCGTTTGGAATGCTCTCATTCACCGTCGTGTGTATAATGTATTTGTCTCTGCAACACAACACCATGTGTTGTTGTTGTGTACACCACACACACAACATAACATAAATCATAGTAAATGTTTTTTTTTTTTTGTTTTTTTGTTTTTGCAGCATTAGATTGCAGAGAAAAGGGAGGGAGTAGTAGCAGTAGGTGGTAGGAGGTGTAGTTAATAGCAATAGGAACAGCAATTGTTGCCACTGTCACACTGCTCTTTCTGCCCTCTCACCCTTCTCGTGATTACCCTTTCAACCTTTTCTGTTTTCTCTTTCCTCTTTCACCATATTCACCCTTTTGCCTTTTCCTTCCTTCTCTCTCTCTTTCAACTTCAAACTTCAAACCCTAGCCATACCATTGGCATGCTCTTTCTCTTTCGGTTGCTTTTCATGTATTACGCTTTTGGGTCTTACAATTCCCTTCATACCGCTTTTTTTGGGATTTTGGAGCTGTTTCAGGTGATGTTTTTCACTTTTTTGTTGTTTGTTTCGTTAATTCATGTTGGCATGTTTTTTTTGTTCCAGATTTTGTTTTGGTTTTCTGGTTGGTTGGACTATGTTTGCTTGATTTTGCAGTAGACTCTTTTTCTTCCCATGAATGATGGTTTTTCAATTTGATTGTGTTTTTTTTTGTAATGCTTTAACTTCTGTTTTAGTGTTTTAGCTCCTCTTTTAATTTTGATCCACGGGGAGTATAATTGGTAAATGTATTTATTTGTTTCATGGATTATACTTTTATTTTTGTTTTTGAATTCTCTCTTTGATTGAGCTTCCTTCTTGTCCACCTGGCTTTGAATCCAAGGATTTTTCTAGCTCTAATTGTGGTACTAATTCCATGTACTGGGTTGCGAGTCTTGATCTTTCCTTTTTCCCTTGATATCAATTCTAACGTGTTTACCGTTCTTATAAAATCAAGAAAAGTATAGCACTTCCACATTCACATATTCAAACACAAAATCTGAACAAAAAGGTGCTCCATGCTTGCTCTCCTCCATTATGGATGTAAATGCTTATGGTGGCCCAAGATGGGAGTGGAGGAAGAAATTAATTGTCTCCTTTTAAAGTTCAGTAATAAAAATGTATTGGACTTTCAAATTGCAAGGATGGCTTAGGAGAGTGAAATGTGGGGTGAAAATCCACTTCTGTTTTTCTGACAATTTGGTGTTCAAATGAATTATGCATGTGTCTATTATCTTTCCCTGCCTTTGTAGCTAAATACATTGTTTCCCAAACTTGTGATGGAATTCATAGATAAATAATGGCCTTAGTGTAAATCTCTTCATTTGTTCCGTTGTTATTGTCTTGACCTATCTGCAATATCAATGTTAAAATTTCAGGTTTGGATGCCGAGAGTTATGACTGAAGAGAAATTTGGAGGTGCCCTTTGCGGTTTTGTACTTCTGTGCCATCATCTGTGACTTATCTTTGAAATTGGGCTAAAGCTGAGTTCTCCTATTTTTATCTGTCAACTTGTCATCTATCAAATATGGATACCTGTGGTAGTACATGTGAGATAGTGGAATCAAGGGAAGAAATAATATCTGAGATTAAAATGGTTGACAAACCTGAGAGTAGTTATGGTCACAAATCAGGAAAAAGGTATTCGATTGAGAATGATATTAATCAGCTTTTCCAGGCTATTGATATTAAAAGTTCATCAAGAAGTCACAGTTCATCACGTTTACAAAAGAATGCTCTTAAAAGGCCAATAAAAGTCACTTCATCTCAGGCATCAGGAATTGGCATCTCAGAGCCTGTAAGTTTGAAGCAGGCACTTAGAGGGTTGTGCATCTCTCAGGCCTCAGAAATGGCTGCTTTGAAAAGATTGTCTAAGCCATGCAGTTCATCTAGAGCATCAGAGGCTGGCACCATCAAAAGGTTGTACACAGCGGTGGTAGATGAGGGGAAAGGGAACTTGGTAGAAATTTCTCTAGTGCCAGAGATATCTACTGCACCTTGTAATAAATTGCCCAGTGTAACTACATCAAGTTCAATTGATCATTGTACTAGTCCTTTGGTTGATGCTACAAAACCAAAAGAAATGATGATTGGATTTTCATCCCAAGATCAGATTGTTCCTCTGCCTTTAGAGGTTGAGGGTTACAAACCAGTCATGGACATTGGAACACCAATACTTGCAAATTTGTCACCAGTTGCCTCTGCTAGTGAAGTGGTGCCAGAGGTTCTAAGGGATCCTGCTTCCTTAAGCAAAGCTTCTCTTATTTCTTCAATGCCAGGTAAGGGGCAGGAAGCAAATTTACTTCCTGCATCTTGTCCACCTAGCTCTAGCGCTGGCAATGGAGGGGATAAATCTACAAGCAGTAGTACATGTTTGTCAAAGCCAATATTCAATAACTTGAATTTCCTTAAGAAAAAGGTAAAGCAGGATTTTAGTTCTTCCTCAAGTTGCTCCACTCCATGTACAAGTAATTTGGACAAGGAGGTTGGAAATTCTGATTTGAAGCACGGAGTGAAAGAAAATGAGAAATTGTCTCCAAGCTGTTCAAATCATAGCATTGAAGTTAACTCAATTAGTGTTGGTACGGATTCAAGCAAATCTGGTTTCAGCTTGAACTGCAACAAGAGAACTAAGTTTCTGGTGACCAAAGTTGATGAGAAATCAAGATCAAAGGAAAAGGGTGAGTTCTCTCAAAGTTCAAAAAGTAGCATTGGAGAGTATAGTAGTAGCACAAGCATCAGTGAGGAAAGCAGTCTAAGTGGTTCCAGCCGTGGTGGCCACAGACCTCACATGTCAAAACATATGAGATGGGAAGCTATCCGAGTTGTTCAGCAGCAACATGGTAATTTAAATTTGAAGCACTTTAAGCTGCTAAAGAGGCTTGGTAGTGGGGACATTGGAACTGTTTACCTTGCGGAATTAATTGGTACAAGCTGCCTTTTTGCACTCAAAGTGATGGACAATGAATTTTTGTCAAGTCGGAAGAAGATGTTCAGGGCCCAAACTGAGAGAGAGATCCTTCAGATGCTAGATCATCCATTTCTTCCTACACTGTACTCCCATATTGCAACAGATAAGCTCTCTTGCTTGGTTATGGAGTATTGTCCAGGAGGAGATCTGCATGTGCTGCGACAGAGGCAGTCATACAAGAGTTTCTCGGAACAAGCAACTAGGTAGGAGTTGTGAACTTTTCCATTCCTTCGTGACTAGAAAATATATTTTGAAATTCAATCGTGCCTGGATTTGTATATTATTGTTTTTAAATTCAATCAGTGTCTGGGTAGATCAAGTTCATATTTTGTTAACCCAAGGTAATTTTTATGTTCGAGTCCAGTAGACCTTTATGGTAATTTGTTCATTGCAGCATTTATTTCTTAGTCCGGCTAGCATTTTATGTTTGATGCTATGCACTGAACTAGAAAATCTAGTTTAAATTTTTGGAAAATGGAAGTGAGGTAACCTTGATGAATGAAATTTAAAGAGAACAGATGCATGTGCGCACAAATTGGTTGGGTGGTTTAGTTGACAACTATAGAATTCCCCAAGAGAACTGAATCAAAGAGAAGTGTTTAAAATTAACTTGATTGATGTACCAAAATATGTTTTGTTTAGGCTGCAACTCAATAAGACGCAGATTAAGTGTAAATGTGTATTGTCTCATTTTCACTTTACCAGAAACAGATTCCTGTGTTTCAATGCATGGCAAGTTGACAAATTTTTCATCCGTTCTTCAATATAGTCATGGCATCACATTTGCAGGTTTTATGTTGCTGAGGTTCTTCTTGCCCTGGAGTATTTGCATATGCTGGGAGTTGTGTACCGAGACCTAAAGCCGGAAAATATCCTAGTGCGAGAAGATGGTCATATTATGCTGACAGATTTTGATTTGTCACTCAGATGTTCTGTCAATCCAATGTTAGTCAAGTCATCTTCACCTGACACAGATGCCACGAAGAAGACCTGTTCTGAAGCTAGCTGCATAGACCCTTTCTGTCTCCAGCCAGATTGGCAAGTTTCGTGCTTTACTCCCATTCTATTATCTGCTGGAGCAAAATCCCGAAAGATGAAGTCTGACATAGCTTCTCATGTTGGTCCACTGCCACAGCTTGTAGTGGAGCCTACCAGTGCACGGTCTAACTCCTTTGTTGGAACCTATGAATATCTTGCTCCGGAGATCATCAAGGGTGAGGGTCATGGGAGTGCAGTAGACTGGTGGACTTTTGGTATTCTTTTGTTTGAGCTTTTATATGGTAAGACTCCATTCAAGGGCCAATCAAATGAGGACACATTAGCCAATGTTGTGTCACAATGCCTAAAGTTCCCTGGTGCTCCAATAGTCAGTTTTCATGCCAGAGATTTGATCAAAGGGTTGTTGATAAAGGATCCTGAAAATCGATTAGGTTCTGTAAAAGGTGCTGCTGAAATAAAGCAGCACCCGTTTTTTGAAGGTCTCAATTGGGCTCTAATACGGTGTGCGGCACCACCAGAGCTCCCCAAGTTTCGGGATTTTGGAACAAGTGCTCCATCTATGGCTGCAAATAAGGAGAATGCAAATGATTTAGAGGATATAGAAGATTGTGAAGAGTTTGAGCTGTTTTAGTTACTCGGTCCCTTCCAACCCCAGTTTCCTTTTTCGTTTCTCTTTATGAGGGGTAGGAAGTTGAATTGAACTTGACTTGGTTTCAAAACCCAATCTCATCCATATAACATTTAGTATAGCTTATAGCAGAAATGTAATCCAAACCATGTAACAAATAGATAGATTAGTATATGTTTATACTGTACTAGAAGTTTCAAATCGGTAAAGGAAAAAAAGGATTTCTTTGGTTTGTCTGCCTCTATATGATATTATCAATGGATATTTCATTCCCTTTTTGCATTTTCCTTCATGGTTGAAACATTCCCAAACTCCTTTATCTCTAGGTTTTTTTCAATACTCTCTGGTTAGTTGCACACTTTTACAGTTAATTAGTTACAGTACATACGCAAAAGTAATTTATAAATGGAAGCCATTCAAGTTTGTTACTGGCTTTTGCAATTTAGCAATTCCGTGAGATAAGTTTCATTTATCGGCCAATGCAGAAATGTAGATATGCATAACAGTGGCAGGGCTGGTTTTCTTATGTTGGTGATTTTGAGTTAGTTTTATGTGATATGTAGTATTATACCTTTATGAATTGGTTGTCTTATTCTTGTTGTATGCAGTGGTGGGTGTTTTCTTGATTTAAAGCACAGATTGGAGATGTTGGCATTCAATACATGCAAATTTCCAGTGACTGCCAGCTTTGGAAAAGGGTCAGTATATGAAGTTGACCAGCTTTGGACCATAATTTTCTATCTAGGATCTGATTGGATAAATTTCTCCATAAATATCTTTAGCAGAAAAAAAATAAGACAAAAAACTTCTCCATTAGCTAAAACTAGCTTAAGGGTAAGCCAATTTGTAGAAACAACTTCATTTAACTTATCCCAAATTAAATATTTAACTTGTGTATAGAGTGTTTTTAACTTACGGAGAAATTTACTTTACATTTTATTTCTTATTCTCTTCTTCTTGAAGTGTGAATGAAGAAACTCAACTGAACATGCCCCTAGTTTGATGTGAACACTGATGATACAGGATAACTGATGTGCCCATCACGTAACACACATGACCATGCCTAAGTCCATAACAGTTACTGGTCAGGATGATGGATAGCACAGGTTTGCAAAAGGTAAATTATAACTATTGGTTGGTTCAACTTGTAGATAAAAGCAAAACATTTCGGTATAGCTATTGGCCAAAGCCATGATGTGCATGAACTAGAGTTGGAATGCTCTGTGCAAGTCATGGCTGCCGAAGGTATATTTGGTATATCAAATTATTTTGTTAAGATTGTCATGTATTGACTTGTACATTGTAATTTCCTGAGGCTGAAATTACATATAAAACAAAATCATTGTCATTTAAGCAATTTATACACGGTTCCCCGTTGATTTTACTTTTCCTTTGTTTTGTGACTTATAAAAGTATTTTTTCTGCGATTGCATTACATATATCTATGCACGTATGTAAGACCAGATTGTTTTCATAGTTTTAAACTCTTCTAACTTGACTCTCTCCCTGAATACCACTTGATCTTATCCAAAAGGCTGAAAAAGGTGTTTTATTACTTCCTGAATCAAGTGGAGCATCATCTGTTATGTTTTTTTGCTTCCTGCCTTTTCTTGTAATGTTTTGAATCTTTGGTACCTATCTTTTTATGTACTCCGGTGGTGCTTGGGTTGCATGAACTTGCAGATACCAGAGGATCATTGTTGAACAATAATTAGAACCAGTGAATGAACATATACAGAAGGAATCTTGATCACTTAAACATCCAGAAGATCTTATTCTACTGGGGCAAATAATATCAATGTTGAACCACTTCCATTAAAGTTAAAATCAATCCCAGGTACGCATGGTGTGGTACTTTTTGTAGAATGGACTAGTAAAAGTGGGCAACTTTTTTTGACCCTTTTATGTTTGGGTTATATACCTCGGAATTGTTGTTAAACTGATCACATTTCAAATTGAAAGGGGCAGACTTATACACATACATACACACAGTTTTATTCTCTCTTTCTCTTTTTAGTCACATTGAATGATGGAACGTCTCAGAATATTTTGCTGAATATCAGTGTGGCAGCTATGCATATCTTATTTTGAGCTGTTACCTCCATTGTACCTTTATCTGTGTTTTGTTGTCATGCAGATGTTAAATCACTTGTTTTGGGACGTAACAGTTTTTTTCATTACAGACTTAGTGTGACACTGAAGTTGATTCTGTGTTTTTGGTGTCACTGCCATTCTTGCTTTAATTAATCAATAGTTTACAAGAAAGAAGAGCATGGATGCAAGGTGTTGAAGTAATTTAGCTGCAGATTTCCATCCAAATTAAACCATTACTTCATATCAATTTCACCAACAACCTTCCATTGAGTATGTGTTCAATTTGTCAGAGAATATCATATAACATTCCTCTTATTTCTGTCCATAGATTCATTTCGTTGAGTTTTGTCATATCAATTCTGTAATATTCCCATGCATGGAAATGACAGTGCAAGAAGTGTTACAGGAGCATTCACTAGGACAAAGGACAATCAATTGACATGCACATGCTGAGAAATGTGCTTATAAAACTTAGATCAAACAACATATTTCTGATTATCCTGAAGTATTGGAAAATATATAATTTTTAAAATATAGTTTAATATCTATGCTTTCAGTCAAATGTGATCAAAGTCTTCCTAATATTGGTTAAGTGGTAAGGCCTTGTGTTGAATAGTCCAGGATTCAAATATATGTGNGTACCTTTATCTGTGTTTTGTTGTCATGCAGATGTTAAATCACTTGTTTTGGGACGTAACAGTTTTTTTCATTACAGACTTAGTGTGACACTGAAGTTGATTCTGTGATTTTGGTGTCACTGCCATTCTTGCTTTAATTAATCAATAGTTTACAAGAAAGAAGAGCATGGATGCAAGGTGTTGAAGTAATTTAGCTGCAGATTTCCATCCAAATTAAACCATTACTTCATATCAATTTCACCAACAACCTTCCATTGAGCATGTGTTCAATTTGTCAGAGAATATCCATAGATTCATTTCGTTGAGTTTTGTCATATCAATTCTGTAATATTCCCATGCATGGAAATGACAGTGCAAGAAGTGTTACAGAGCATTCACTAGGACAAAGGACAATCAATTGACATGCACATGCTGAGAAATGTGCTTATAAAACTTAGATCAAACAACATATTTCTGATTATCCTGAAGTATTGGAAAATATATAATTTTTAAAATATAGTTTAATATCTATGCTTTCAGTCAAATGTGATCAAAGTCTTCCTAATATTGGTTAAGTGGTAAGGTCTTGTGTTGAATAGTCCAGGATTCAAATATATGTGATATCATTTTTAGTATGAGATAAGTTGTAGACAAGCTCTTTGTACTTTTATATTAATAAAATTTATCGTTAAACTTTTTAAAATTATAGATTTAGTCTTTTATTTTTTTAAAATAAAAAAATATTAAAAACTGAATTACATTCTCGTTTTTAATATAAGAATAAAATTCGCTGGTACAAAAATATTAGACTTTTTAACATGTTTTACCAAAACTTTTAAATGGTTTAAATATGTTATGAATTACTAAAAAGTATTATCTTGTCTTATTTGTCTTCACAATTTTTTTATTTTTTGCTTTCAAATTCCCGACATTTCCTTAGTATTCTTTATTTTTAGTTTTTATCATTAATTATAACGAAAGTTTTAATTGAGATAATTAAGAATTTGAACTTTTTTAATGAAAGATGACGTGTAAAATATAACTATAGTCCCAGGACATTTAATTTAACATGACAATTCTAACCCACCTATCATATGTCAATTTAAAAATTAAGATGATTAAATTATTTCTAAGTTCATTAATTAAGCAATGTAGTTATTATTTTATAAATAAGATTATTTTGGCTTAATTGTACATTTTTGTCATTGAAGCTTCACACTCTAGAATATTTAACCATTCAAGTTTCATTTTGTGAATGTAGAATAAAGTGATCATCGCTTGTGCGACAAAGTGAATGCCAAAATGATGGAATTATTTAAACCAAGTATATTTTAGTTATAAATATTAAAAAAAGAATGCTAAAAAAATATAAATGATTTAAAAATAACATTTTTTACATATGATAAAACTAAATATAATGATATTTTATGTAAAACCTTCATCTCTTCTCTCACACACTCTCAAAGCATCTCTTTCTCCTCGAATTCTTCCTCTTCTAAAATAATACATACAATAAAAAAATTGTATATAAATTTCCAACGTTCTTAATATATTTTAATAAATATAATAATTAAAACTTTAAATGAAAATCATTAACATATTTAGAATAAATTATTAATATCATAATTATTATTCTTACATATATGCATATTATATATATTTGATTTTTTTAAACTCAGCAGACCCTTTTCTTCTCTCTCACCAACTACTCTCCGTCGTCAAGCGTGGTGGTTATGTGAGGCGCGCGGCCAATTCACTCACCGAAACATGACGTCCTCCTCCGGCGCCAGCAGGTACACGGCCTTTTCGCCGTCGCCCTTCGCTCCTTCCTCTCTTTCTCTTTATTACTCTCTCTATATGTACATATGTGTGTGGATTGCAATGGAAGTGTGGCATTATTTGATTGAATGGGGATGGAGTAAGGAAGAGAAAGGGTTTGGTTTAGTTTGGTTGGGTTTTTGTTTCATTACTAAGGTAAGGTTTCTTCTTTTCTTCTGTTCATTAATAATTCTTGTAATAATCAAATTAATACCATTTTGTTTTATTGTTGTATGTTGATTGATTACTCAAAATCACAGATTGGTATATTCTCAGTAACCAATTGTTAGTAACAGAATGAGTGCAAGCTGCTTGGTAGCAGAGACAATATGGAAGGAAATTGAGTCTACACACAAAGGTGAGTAACTTTATTACTTTATATACTTTCAATCAAGGTTTTTAATTGTGGCTGCAGCTTACCAATCCTTGATATTACCGAAAATTGTGTATAATGATATCTCAATATGCAGTGAAACTCAATAAACCTTGCCCTTGTGGTTGCAATTGTGGTTGTGGTTGGGGTAGTGGTTTCGTAGCAATCCTAGAAATGCTGTTAATGCAGCCACAATTACAGTCACAATCCTGTCACTTGTTATGGGGCTTTCCCCTAATATGAGTGTTTATCATAGGTTTGGTTGTCACTGTTTTGGAAAGGGCTATCCATAAAGAGAGGGTTTCTACCAACAAGGAAATTGAAGGAAGTGTCACTTGGTAAAATGTTTTATAATGAAACTTATCGGAACCTCAACTCTCAAGGGTGACACTCTGATGGGGAATTGGGTATTATGAGATGTCTAAGTCTTGTATTGACAAGTATGAGATGCTTGTGGAATTTTTAAGCACTTAGTTCTCTTCTCGTAATTACTAGTTTTTAAACGCGGATACCCAGACACTTGGGTGCTCATCAATTGTGGCTGTATATCTGAAATTATGGGGTTGGATGGTTTTTTAAAACCTTACTTTGAAGTATTGATTTGTGACCCAAGACCATCTTATTTTCATGTTGCAGTGAATGATGATCAACTTTGGACGTTAGTCAATTGCTTCCCATTCCTTTATGTTCTTTTGAAATCATTATTGCCCCGCATTGTGTTTCTATTGAAGTTGTGTTTTGGTCTTTATGCAACATGAAACCAGTTTGCATTTCTTGTTTGGCAAGAACTTCGAGGGAGCCACTAGAATTGTTGACCAAAGAGGTGTCAACAAGATATCTGCTCATCCCAGTGGAAGGTTTATCTTTCAGGTTTAACCTTCCCACCTCTCTTCTATTGCCTTGAATGGGTCAAATTTTACTTAAAATTCAGATACATGATTTAAAAAATGAGTATTTTCTCACCCCACATGCCAGTAGGAAAGAAAGAGATAGGAAGAATAAAAGGGATAAATCTAATGAGTAATGTATAAGGGAAGATGGAAATGTAAAAAGATGTAAGGTGGTTGTAGCATTTGAGATGTGAAAAAATAGAGTTGAAAGGATTGTATAAGCTATAAGTTGACAAAACAATATATATATATATATATATATATATATATATATATGTCCCTATTTTAAATATATGTAAAAACTTTTAGTGTTTGCTTGACAATATTGAGACTTAATGGGAAAGCGGTTGTTGTACAACTAAAGTGGCACAACATTGTTGTCCTCTTTGATTCTTTGAGGATATTTTTGAGATACATGTATATGAAAAAAGATAAAAGTAAAAGATAGAGAATGGATACTGTCAATTATTTCATGTCAAGTAAAAAATGTTTTGACTTTTGTGAATCTAAAGAACCATTCATTTATTTGATATGGATCATGCATTCTTTATTCCCTTGTTTAGGTTACAGGAGAATCCCGAAGAAAAGACCAATATCTCTGTTTTGCAGAGAATTTTTGTGCTTGTCATTCTTTCTTCTATGATGTCGTCAACAGAGGAGAACAACTTTGTGTACGGCCATATACATGTTTCATCATCTTCAGTTGACTATAAAGATTAATATTATTCTAATTCTCAAATATACAATGTGCATTGTGTGTGTTCCAGTGTAAACATCAGTTAGCTGCAAGACTTGCTGCATCTTTGGGATCATATGCTGAAGTTAACGTGTCTGATGAGGAGCTAGCTCTGTTACTATCCAGAATATAGCCCTTGCTTTGTAGATTAACGCTTTATAATTTATTTAATAATGATTTCATAGAGCAAGGAACATATCATCTTTAGATTTAGTTAATATGTATTACATGGGCAAAAGAAAGAACATCTTATCCGTAAAAAAGTGTGTTTAGATGGGCAAAAGCAACAATAGATGAAGCACTAAAAGCCATTTGTGGTTTTCTTTCTTTTTAATAAACTAACCCATACAAGCTTTCAAAATTTGTTTGATTGAGATTGGAATGAACCAAATAATTTCTGAAGCGAGTGTTTTTAGTAAGAGAAACATCAGGTTATTCCAAATTTCCAATGAACTGAGTGTTTGCAAGTTTTCTTAGGAAAATTGTTCTGAGTTTAGCTTAAATATTGTGATAATAATGTAAAGTTGTTTTAATATAACGGTTAATTAGTTTTGAAAGAGTGGATCTACATCGTGCTTGATGCATTTTTTTTGGGAATTTTGTTGATAAGGAAATCAGTAGAGAAATGCTTGCAATGCACGCTTTTAAACACATTATCATCTATTAACTAAAATTTATTTAAAATCACAATGTCGTGGGGTCTCTAATTATGAGCTCCACTCAGCTGGATTTGACCACTCTAAAGTGAGGGAATGCACTGTAGAAGTGACGAAAATATACTTAAGAGGATTAAGTGAAATAATATGTATTAATTAGAAACCGAGTATTGACTTTAATTAGATTTAGATTTTTTTTATCATTTTATCACAATTTTAAACCATTGATTTTCTGATAACATATTGTAAGTTGCATTTTTATCTAAAGTCAAGTGCACTTTTATCCATAAATTTTCATCAACGATAGTGTATAAGTCTTGTAGAAAGTGTGTTGCTTGCCTTCAAATTTAGCAGGGAGTTGAGTTCTCTTAAATACATTATTTGCTAACCTGTATCATAGAAAATTTAAATTTCTTTTGCCCTTAACGGTTGTTAAATGTTAATTTCTATCTTCATGTTTAAATTTATTATTTCTTTTTCTATTGGCCTGTTACCAACTTTGCATGTTGTTCAAAAAGGAGCTGATTTTAGCAGTTTAGATGTTACCATGAAAGATATAGACTCAGCGATAGGGTGGGTGGATGAGCCTGTCAACATGTTGCATGTGATGACAATTTTTTTGGTTCTGTGATGTACCATGTAGCATAACATAAAGCATTGTAAATATATTGGATAAAGTTACATTTTTTGTGTCAAAGGGCTATAAAAGAACACCACTAACTTCAAAGTCCATTCCAACCTTTTTGGTTGGTAGACCTCCCTTTGTTGGGTGCAGATAGGATAACATCTACACTTGATAACATAAATTCCTACTTGACCTTCCAATTTAGGTCAATCCAACATTAACGGATACCAGCAAAGTATGCCAAAGGTCCAACAAAAGCACCATTGATGTAAGTTGCAGGCTCAGAATGGCTGTAATCACTGCGGTCATCTGGGAATCCATCATTTTGGTTTGGACCTCCTACTACAGCTCCAATCAATATGTTAGGATTAGGATTCATTGAGTGGAAAAATGGTTCAAACCCTCCATCACAGCCTATGGTTTGTGGATGAGCTGCTATTGAAGGCAAGGAAGACCCTCTGTGGTGAACTCTCTTGGGAAAGTATGGACCATAGCCTACCATGTAGGACATTCTTAATGGGTTTTCACCTAAAATGTAATCTACCTGAAATTTTACAATAAATTTTGTCAACCATGGAATAGGCAAAAGAGAAATGGATATTGAGCTTACAAATTTTTGTGAAGAGCATTACCTGTCTTTTTGCAATGCTTCTTAAGGTATTTGGAGTGACCAGAACACCGCCACAGTTAAATGTGTGTTTTGTAGCTGCCATGTACTTTGAATAGGTTGTAAGCAAAAATGTTATTGAAGTCACATACTGGAGGTTGCTTTCAGGAAGCTTGTACATGAGTCCCCCTGCCCACAAAAGTACTTGAGAATTTCATTTTTTGAATTTTCTTATATGTTGCTAATGAATGACTCAGATTGATCTAATTGTGTAACATTACTTCTGTGAAACTCAGTGATGTTGTTGCCTTTTTACCTTGTGTATATTGTGTACTAGAGGAGGGAGAGTTGGGCAGGATCTTGCACATAAAATTCTCAGCTTCTTGTTTGTATTGATCAAAATTCTTATCGCCATTCAGCAATGCTCTCTGCAGTAACAATACACAATAAATCAGATAACATCATACAAACAAGTTGATTCTAGATATTTTTCAATTGCATCACATGGAGAGTATGATATACCCTGGAGAGAAGAACATGAGCACCGGCATATTTGTTGTCCCAACTGAAGATATCTGGTTGATCATCAGCTCCCAAGGACTTCACCAAATTGTAGTAGTAAACAGCATTTGTCGCTCTGAAAAGCCATGCAGCCCCCCACAACAGTTCATCCTGAAAATAAACAAAGGTTAGTAAACCACACTATTTTCCGAGTAATTAGTCTTATGCACTGTTAGTACAAATTTTTTTTACATTGTCATCCAATCACAAATTTGTATAAGTTTGATAACTTCTAGAATAACTGTTTTGAAAATCATACCTACTATCACTTTTTATTGATTGACTGACTGGGTAAAATGCTTTATTTAGACTGACAGTATGTAGAAGTTAAACTCTTGTTTTCTCTTAATAATGCACGCCAACCACTCAATTCTGAGTGAAAGGAAAATAGCAGGAAGGAACACAGAAGCAAGTAACTATAAAAAAAATGGTTTTACCTTGAAACCAGAATATGAGCAGTAAAATGGGCAAACTGCTGATCCAAGTGAATCACTGTATGAACCTTGGTACTGCAAGGCAAAGTGGTAGACCTGCTGGGCTGTCCTTAACAACTGCTTAGAGTATGTTGGGTCAACCCTTCTGAAGACAATGGATGCAGCAGCAAGTGCAGCAGCAGTTTCTGCAGCCACATCTGAGCCAGGCTTATTGGGAGAGACCCAATACACAGTTCTGACAGTGTCCATGTCCTCTGGCCTTTCCCAACATTTGTGGTCCACATTTGGGTCTCCAACCCCAACATAGAGCTTCCCAGGTGTGGATGTGGCACACTTGAGAAGGTAGTCTGTGGCCCAACGAATTGCAGCTCTTGCCTCTTTTATCTGTCCTCCCATTCTCTTCCCATATTCAATTGTTCCCCATGACAGCATGGTGGTCGTGTAGGCCATTGGAAAGTTGAACTTCACATTGTCTCCTGCATCATAGTAACCTCCACTTAAATCCACCTGCCATACAAAGTTTGGATACGGTCAGACACTTCCTTGTTCAGCTGAATCATATGAAACTGATGATGATTACTTTCATGAAGACTTTTAGATGGATTTGTTGAATGTTTATCATCTAATTATATGCTGTAACATCATGAACAGATATGAAGATCATATTTATCAGTTCAATTATTAATATGTTATGATAATTAGACTAGTTTCTGAGTAAACTTTAACAAGACCTTGATAACTATGCTACCACCACTACAAAGTATTGCAATATTCCTCATACAGTTTTTTTTATTATTAGAAAAGATCAGTAACTGATAGCATTCTTCTTTCTGTTTAAAAGTACATCTCCGACCCAATTAACCAAAACGGATTTAATTTAAGCACATATTGTTTGTTATAACTTGCTTTACACTATTACTCAAAGGATTAGATAAGGACTTTGAAACTTGTAAAACTGAAAGAGGCACGCATTCCAAGACTTGAGTAAAGAGAATGATTGCATGGCATATTGTTTCCAATTAAAAAAGAGAAAAAGAAAGAATACTCAATTTTCGGCATCATCAAAGCGGTTGACTTATAACGTGATTGGTCCAACTTTTTTAAAGAAAGTTGTCTAAAGAAACTTACTGTGAAAAGTGGTGCAAAATAGAAATTTTTTTAATGTAAATATTTATTTTGTAGTAGTCCTTTTACTGTGTATTATTATTCCACAACAGCAGAAAAGTCACGCGAAAAACAACTTAGAACCTGTAAAAAGAAAAGAGTAAAGAAAGCAGCACGAAAACATAGTAACAGAGTTCTGAATCAACAAGGAGATACCATTATTTTGAAACCTTCATTAAAATTTTACCATCGAACACTAATCTTCCCTAGCACTCAAATATGAATTAAAAATAGCAAGACAAATTGTGTTTATCCATGCATAACCATTAGTTAGAGTGAGTAATGAAAGCTTCTAATATATCAGAATGTTGCCCATAAATAAACAAGATTAGTTATGATGACAACAATGAAGAAAGAAAGTATAAGAATCCATGGTGTGATGATGCTTTGAGCTGAACAAGCAAACACAAAATAAAACAAACAAAATGACAGAAAAAAAGAGATTGTTACATTGGCAAGACGACCATCAAAGAGGCCAGAATTGGATCTCCATTTGAGTTGTTGATCAGCAGGAACCCTTCCTGACCTCTGTCCTTGGAAGAACAACAAGGATTTGGCCAATGCATCTGCATAGTTAGGGTTACATTGGACACTGCCCACCAACAAGAAGGTGAAAAGGAACAATGACACCAAGGAATTTCCCATTATCACTTTTTGCTATCTTCTTGGTTGAACCACCAAAAGTGTTCTGCTATGGTCTTTGTGTATGACTTGTTGGTTGAAGCAAAATGAGTTATGTGCTTCCCTTTTTATATTATGCTTAGGAGAATCAATCTCTTGGCGTAAATCAAGGCTTTTCAATGACCCAACTAAAAAGAGACATAACTATAATATACTACACTGTTTCATAGACTTCCTCAACCGTTTCAAGTGGGAATTTGAAAAATGTTGTGCATGCAGAATTTAACACATGCATGCATCATTATTATTGAAGCATTTACTACAGAGACCGTTTAGAACGGTTTTTAGTGTTGTGACTAACCCTGTTTTGTCACCATTTTTTGTCGTCAAAGAGTATATGTTTTTCAAAGTTGTCATGATAAGACAATTGTCACCATGTTGTGAATTTATTCTACCCTTTTGATTGTTTCCCTCTTGCTCTTGTTTTCTTCCTTTTGGATTGATCAAACAAAGAAAATGAGGTATTATGATGTTTTGCTTTCACAAAACAGTGATATGGGAGTGCTTAAAAATGCAATCTTTATCCTGATTACAGATTACTTCGTGTATCAATTTCAAAGCTATTTTTGTTATCTTTCGTTTGAGTTTTGG